AAAAAAAAAAAAAAAAAAAAAAAAAAAAAAAAAAAGATGACATCTGAAGGGCATTGCCCTTTCTTTATTTCTGGGGGGGGGTATTGGTCCAGGAACAATACAGAGAAGATTAGCATGGCCCATGCGCAAAGATGAAACACATTAATCAAGAAATGGTAGAGAAAGGAAAACGTAGTTCAGCTCAGGAGTTTCACCCACGTGGATGAGGCTAGACTGCACACCACCTAGCACTCAGGAGTAGCCAGCTGAAAATTCACATAAATCAGGACAGAATTGGCCTTGCTGCACTACTCTCCACTCTCTGAAAACTCGGACAGTTGGAGGAGAGTTGAAAAGCTCTCCCACTTCCTGATTTTGGGTTCACCACTGCACTAACTGTCCGTTCTCCTAGACTCCATGTCGAGAGTGCAGAAGCAGACAACGGGACACATCGGGATATGCATTTGTCCGCCCAGACTCGAGGCACACTCTCCAAATTGGGAACATTTTGGAGAGTCCGGCAGAGGTCCATCTGGAAACCCATCGTTGCAGGCTGGGCACTCTCCGAAATCGGAGAGTGCTTTTTGAAGGCGGGTTCTGACAGGTATCCAAGGGTTTTGGATGGTCCAATCGGATCGTTAGTGCAGCCATAAAAAACTCTCCGAAATCGGAGAGTTCAGAGTAGTGTACCCAATGAATAACTTCTTACTTGTAAGTTCTAATGAAAGAAAGGTTTCTTATCTGAAACACAATTGCTTCTAAAAGCATTTATGCCCTCCCATGGCAGGGGAATGGCACACACGGCCTAAGAGTCTCTCCACTACACATTACTGTACATGCATTTGGACGCTCATAGGACCACATTACTGTACATGCATTTGGACGCTCATAGGACCACATTACTGTACATGCATTTGGATGCTCATAGGACCACATTACTGTACATGCAATTGGACGCTCATAGGACCAGGTGCATTGGGACGATTCCAACGTTGTGAATGTATCCCGTCAAGAAAGCTTCCAAATGACAGATGGGAGGCTTTTACCCCACTGACGGTTTTGTGAAGAAAGACCCGGAAAAGGAGGCGCTACGGCCGGCGCAGAGCGCTCCGCCACAGCGCTACCGGTTCTGGAGAACCGGTCTCGTCACTCACCTAGCCGGCACGAAGCCGACGAAAGTGAGCATTGCTTACCACCCCGCGTGGCGACCATCGCCAAGCCAACCCGTCTCCGTGGAAATTGGGGGGGCATGGGAGCGAGTGGACGGGTCAGAGTTCACTGATACTTCATGTGTACTATGAGCAACACGGACAGGCATTGACGCCCTGTCCCCGAAAAGCACTGTGATCCATTGCCCGCCGACTAGGGCGTTTTCCTTCTTCTTCGGCAGTTCCTTCTTCTTCGGCAGTTTTGGTACATACAAGACATGCTGAGGCCCCTTCGGCTTATAGAGTCAGGTGAGGTGCTATACCATCCCTACCCATCTTTACCCTGAGTCACCATCCCCCGGCTATACCATCACCAGACCTCCATATAACCACATCCATCGCTATTACTACGCATTCCGTTAGCATTGACCCGAGGAGGTTTTCTTTGACTACGACTGGCTCCCTTCGCACGTATAACACCCTACCACTCACCAACACCCTAGTCCTACTCATTGAATAGCTACACCTCTATCCCAGCATAGGTCTATTCATTTCGCATATAATCACCTACTTTCATCAGCACACGAGTGCTATTCTACCCTGCCGATAAATACTCCATAGATCCCTAACTTTCTATCTCCGTCAACCCCTACTCTCCGCCCAGCACTCAAATCAAGGCTAACCCTTGTCTGTTACCTCGGGTCGAGCATAACCCCTGCGTAGGTATACCACTCTATCCTGCAGTCTCATAAGATCTGCCTCCCTCACCCATCGCACACTCAAAATCCTCCCTCGTACAACTCACTGTTTCGTAAGATCCCTCGTGTTTATAGCCCACCCACCCCAACTTTTACTGCTCCGCCCCCTCAGCCATCCGTTAGGTTCTGCAGTAGAGAACCCGCCCCCAGCAGCCCAGCCTCCTTCATCTACGAAACCCTATACCTCCCCTCTCTCCCTTCGCCTCCTAATTGGTACCGTCTCACCCACTAGCTGCACCAACCTCACAATGAATGGGAATGAGCTACCGCAAGCGGACCCTCAAGCAGGCTACCAACTGGGTGGCATGGCAGGTCCAGCACAGAATCCTCCTCAGCCTGATGAGCTCGCCAGAATTCGCAATCTCCTTGACAGCTGTTATGATGATGGCCTTTTTCCGGAGACATCCTTCTCACACGGCGAAGTAGAGATAGTGGACGGGGTGGGTTACCTTAATTTAAGGGAGGACGTAGACGAAGCCACAGTCGCATGGCTCAAGGAGAGGACAGTCATTGTCATCTTCGAGTCAAGGGCTGCCACCTTTTCGGTCGCACAGCGGGAGCAATTTATCCGCATTTATGAAGATGCATGGTTCGAGGAAGTTAATTTCAACCCGACGCAAAGGAGAGGGCGCACACACGGGGAGGGGCCGAATGTAATGTCTTACGTAGCACGGACACAACAGATCGCTCAATGGCTGACTTCCAAGGGCACTGACTTCATTCCCACGAGAGACGGACTGGTCAAAGTGACCTTCCGTCCATGGATGACGCAGCAGGAGTTGGAACAGCTCAGAAATGCGGAATCGGCCGCCAAATTCAGAATAATAGCACTGATGGTTCCCCTTGGTGCTATGTTCTCGCTGAGGGACGCAGTCAAGCACCTAATGGGCCCAATCATCTGCATGCACCCCCCCGAAAAATGGGAGGATGAACCACGGCTAGGGAATGTTAAAATAGATTGTGACCCTTCAGTCAGAAACACTTTCATGGAGTGGGTTGCCCTCGATAGGCCTTCAGGGCAGATCCTCCGAATTCAGTTTTCTAACCAAGACACGATCTTCTGCCAGAAATGTCTTTGGTGGTTTCATGATGAGTTTGATCCGGAGTGCCCTCGCTTTAACGAGCCAATGCCACCCGGAAGAGGTTCCACAGGCCGCGGCCGAGGAGGCAATCGAAGAGGGGGTCGAGAACCCCCCCCTTTGCCATGTCCACAGATGCAAAACAATCGAACGCAGCACAGACAGCCCCAAGCCCCAACCGCAGCCACACACAACCACCCACCACATCCGCACCCGCAAGGACCCTCCACGGCGCAAGCACCCCAGCACCCGTGTCAGCCTCCAGCGCCCAACCCCTCATGCACAGCAACGTACTCCACCCCCCCCTTGCGCGGCCAGGCGGCAGGAACACAGGTCCCCTACCACCCCCCCTTACCACAATCCTCGCTGCAGAACTCAGCATCCACCCGCACTCACTACCAACCACAACCACACCCAACAACATCGATGGCTGCTGCAACACAGCCAATTCCCTCACTTAGCGTAGGCCCCAATTCTCAACTTCAACAGAGAAGCTCAGTCTTCGCTAGGTCGCCACCACTCGTATCCATCACACACCACCCTCCCCCACCAACTCTCCACATTGGAGCCCCCACACACTACGGATACCCCACGTTGCCCGGACCACCTCCACCTCGGCCGGTTCTCCCTACGACACCGCCACCCAACCTCCTGCAGCCGACCACGAGAGCCAGCACCAGACTTCCGGCCACCCAGCCAACCCAATACCACCAACCACTACAGACCTTCAGCATATACTCTAACCCTGTGTTCGCAATGCACCCCCCTCTAGTAACTGACACAGGTGGAAATGTGCAAGGGGACACACGCTCAACAACTTGCTGTATCGGTGAAGACTCAAGACTGGTTGCAGCGCACTCCCTTCAAGCAGAGGAGAATGAACGAGGATGGAGATGGCCAAATCACGCAAGAAGAGGAGGAGGGCGACATAGAGTTCTTTGCGGCCACCCCACATGCCACAGGCTCTGGACTCTTGCTCCAAGACCCGTTGCCGCCACCTCCAAATGCACAAGCAGTTCCTCTAGCAGCGCAGCCATTCAGCAGCAGGGCAGGAGCAGCCGCAGGTATGGTTCGACACCAATTGGTACTGCTGTGCTTCATGTTGTCCCCCCAGGGTACTAAGTTCATGGCCAGGTGGACAGATAAAGGACAGCTGGTTGTGCCAACGATCGCCGTCAGCACTTCACCAACAACCAAAGAGGCCATCAAAGCGATTGCTTCAACTTTCATCGCAGATCGCTTCCCCTTTCGGTTGATTCCGGGGATATGCATTGGCCGAAAGACCATAGCTGCGGCAGCGGGGGGAAGCTGGCATTTTTCTATTGGAATGCTGGATGTCAAGGTGAGCCTTGATGCTGCTTCATTGCTGGCCACATAGGGAGTGGTGTGGCTGCCGTCTACCTGGCTGGCTTCAGCTGCAAACACGGACCTGCAGGACGTCGTCCGTGAGGAAGACGTTAATGCCAAGCTCCTTGCAGATTTCTGTAACACCCTGGCAACGGACAAGCAACCATATTCAGCAGGGTTCAGAAGTGCACTGTTAGCAGCTTGGGGGACCCCCCAGGATGCAGACACAACAAGAAGATCAAGGCAGCCTAGGCAACAACCAAAAGAGGAGCAGCGGATCCAAATGCCCACCGCCCGAAACCAAACCTATGGCCAGCTTTAGAGTGGGCACCTGGAACGTGCGGGGACTGGGGGATTCGACTGGACGTCACAAGAAACCAAGAATTAAAACTTGGGTACACGATCAGAGAGTCCAAATACTGTTCCTGCAGGAGACCAAGCTGGATGAGCATCGCATTCACCAGATCCAAAACTGGTGGCAAGGGCCACAGATCTGGGCTCCAGCTTCAGATACTAGAGGAGGTTGCGCCATCCTGCTTCACAAAAATCTTAACGCAGAGATATTGGATCAGGAGTTTGACATTTGGGGACGCTGGGCATGGGTCCAGATTCAACTGGGGACCAAGACCTGGACCCTTATGACTATTTATGCACCAGCGGAGCCCGCTGAGCGGAGATCCTTCTTTGAGGAATTCCCAGCAATCGTACCTGACGAGGACAATGTTATCTTGGCGGGGGACTTCAACGTGACTCTTGCACATGGGCTCGACTCTCCCGAGGTGGCACCTAGGAGGACCGATGCAGTGATGCTGAGCAACTTTATGGCAAGTAGAGGGTTAACAGACACGTTTCGCACCACACATCCGTCTGAACCAGGCTTCACCTGGTTCTCCTCCCAGCAAACGGAAAACAGGCCGCCACCCAAGAGAAGGCTAGACCTCATCTTGGCCAAGGGTGAACCTTGGCAGGCCTTAACCACCGTCGTCTATAGCATAGAGTCGTTGTTCGATCATCGCCCACTCACAGCTAATTTCGAGCTGGCAACAAACCTTGCTCGGGGCCCCGGGACGTTCCGGTTTAATACGGACCTGCTTAGTCTCCCAGGGGTCACAGATTGGGTTGCATCACACTGGAGGGATTGGCAGCAAGTAAGACCTACCTTCGACACAAAAGCAAATTGGCTGCAGATGGGCATCCGGATCATTACACGAACCCTGGATGCCTTTTCAAGAATGCAGGCGAGAACCAAACGGCAACAAGAAGAAGAATGTCGTACCGTGATTGCAGAAACGGAGGCAGAACTGGACAGGGGACCCTTGGCGGAACTCTACTGGCAACGCAGAAGGAACCGATGGCTGCAAAGACTACAAATGCTTTGGGCAAGGAGAGCCCAAGAGAAGGGGATGATCACCGGTGATAGGCTTACTAAAGAAACCTTTCAGCGCCTATGCCCACTGCGGGCTCACGCACTAATAAGGGAGTTACAACACCCCTTCTATCTGGAGGCAGCAGTCGCCAAGAGCTCCTCAGCAATCGGGGAGCATGCTCTGGCCTACTTCAGTGACATACTGAGAAGCAGAAGACAGCCGGATCTAACGTTGCAGCAACTGAGGGATGAGCACGACATGTGGCAGCACACTCATGTGTGCCTGTCCCTGGAGGAGCAAGCTATCCTCGAGTGTCCTATCACTTTGGAAGAGTTATGGGAAGCGGTCAAAAGCATGGCACTTGGTAAGAGCCGCGGGTCAGACAGCTTGCCAGTCGAATTTTATGAAGCCTGTTGGGAACATATTGAACCGGAGTTGCTTTCTCTCTACAATCGTGTGCTGGAGGGGGGTTCCATGACGAAAGATATGAAGTTGGGGAGGGGGGTTCCATGACGAAAGATATGAAGTTGGGGATCATCACCCTAATCTACAAGAAAGGTGATATGTCCAACATTCGAAACTGGCGACCCATCTCAAGACTGAACGTTTCATACAAGATATTAGCCAAGCTCCTTGCTAGACGACTGGCACCGTATCTCCCCAGCCTTGTTCATACGGACCAATGCGCCTTTGTATAGGGGCGCTCAATTGCAGAAAACATATTGGCGGCCATAGGAGCGTTGGAAATCATACAACGAGAAAGGAGGGAAGTGCTGGCAGCAATGCTCAATCTTGAGAAGGCGTACGGCCGGGTGAACTGGTCCTTCGTGCTCGCCACTCTCTAGCACATGGGCTTCGGGCCGAACTATCGCGCATGGGTGCGTGAACTTTATACAGACTCGACGGCCACAGTGAACGTTAATTGTTTCCTCTCACCTACCTTCTCGCTGACACGTTCTCTAAGACAGGGCTGCCCGCTAGCTTCGCTCCTGTTTGCTGTTCAAATGGAGGTCCTCCTAAACTCCTTCAGAGCATCACAGCGCATTCAAGACCTGAGCCTCAGCACCGGAGAAACTCTTCTAGCTGGAGCTATAGCTGATGACCTCCTACTGGTTATGGAGGCTACCCCGGAATCCATGCAAGAGCCTAAGGTCAAGCTTGATGCCTATGCCACGCTCCCTGAAGCTCAGGTCAACTGGAGCAAATCAGTATACTTCATCCCCCGTCATTATGATCTGTCAGGACAGGACTGGGGAATGAAGCGAATAACCCCGGACCTTTCGAAGCGCTACTTGGGGGTGCAAGTCTCTTTAACAGATGCAAGACCGAAGCAGAATGAGATTCTCCAGGCCAAAACTCAAGCTGGATTGCAGCGATGTCGGGTCGCAGTCGGTATGTCGCTCCTTGGACGAGCCCTCGTCATCAATTCAGTCGTCTTTGCTCAACTCTGGTTCATAGCAGCGGTCTGCCTAATCCCCAAGGCAGTCAGCAGACACCAGACAGCGGATGCAGCACGTTACCTGTGGAAACCTGCAGCAAGATAGACACAGGGGTACATCACCAAATGCGTGTGGTCCAAGGTGACCACCGCCAGGACTGAAGGAGGCCTTGGAGTGATAGACCCGAGAAAGCAAAATCTTGCCCTGCTCACCAAATGGCTTCTGAGAGCTGCGACTCAAACAGAACGCAGGAACTGGCTCATGATTCTCGAGTACCTGATCCAACAAGAGCTCTCCCTATCACGTGGCGAGGATGTCTGGTCCTGTGTATTCATGTCCTCTGAGTCATTCGCTCGCAGACAGCTGTCTTCACCGCTGGCAAACGGACTGTGGACTGCTTGGACTCAGCTGCACCCGCCCCTCAAGAGAGAACCAGCAACGAAGGAAGAAGTGCTCAGGCAACATATCTTCGATAATGTCAACGTCTGCAACTGTCAAGGACAGATCTTTGAGGCAACGGCATCACCAGGGCACTTTGGGAGACGTTGGGTGGAGCGTGGAGTGACTACAATCTGCGATCTGTGGGATGACGAGCAAGGAGAGTGGTTTCCAGAACTTCAGCTGATGCGAAAGCTTAGTCGCCTTCAGCTCATCTCCAGCAGAAGTTAGCAAATTCAAGAGGGCATCCCGACATACTGGTTGGAATTACTCACAGCGCACAAGCCAGTCGAAGGGGAATGGTACAAGGATGTGCAGGACACAGACTCAGGGGAAATCATGAGAATAGAGGAGGAACTCGACCCGGACACTTGGCGGATCACGAGGTGGGCACCAGCAGGGACAGCAGCAATCTCCAGCAGTCTGCTGCCCCTGGGGGAATCCACAGTCGGCGTTCAGCAAGACCTGCAGCAGATTCGAGTGAAGACGACAACCAATGTTGGAGTCATCAGGCACGACCTGCTCCTACAGGGCACACCGCTGAGAACATTCAGAATTGATCCTCTGGCCTGGGACTGGCAACCACCATCTAGCCAGGCGAAGGCTCTGCATCAGTATACCCCTGTTCTGGGTAAGCAAGTTCAAACAACAAGCATGGACCTGCCAACAACAGTGGCTGGTGTCCTTAACAGGCTGGCAATGGATCATAGGCCAATCACGGGAGATGGCATGGGCAGACTTTGGATCCAGCTTACTGCCCTCCCTTCACAAAAGCTCGCAGGAGTCCTGTGGCTTCTTTTGCATGCAGCAATCCCCACCACGGTATGGCTCTTTGAGAGGGGAATGGACATTGAAACGAAATGCAAAAGATGTGGTGGCAGGCATGAAGAAACATTGCAGCACCTCTTTTGGGGATGCCCGGCCTCAAAGAGGATCTGGCAATGGTGGGAGAGGCATTGGCTGCGCTTCACAGGTCCCATCCTGCAATGGGACGAGACTTGGGCCCTGCATGGCGGGATCCCAGATACCTTGTTTAAAGCCAAGGGCAGGGGATATGTGGCACAGGCGATTCGTTCCATAGTCATCTCGGTTATCTGGGAGGACCGAAACAATATCCTTTTCCAACAGCAATGGACAAGCGACGCCGCGCTCAAAGCAAAAGTCAAAGCTTGAATAAGAACTATGATACGCGTCGATTGGGTCAGAAAAGCGAGCAGAGGCAGCACACCAAGGGGCAGACACTGGTTCCTGACAACATGGGCACGGGACAACCAGTTAGCTGCAGTCACTCACACAGGGAAGCTTGTGATATCTCCCTGGCTTACCTCCCACTCTCTCTCCCTCTACTCCTGCTAGCTCTCCCTTATCTTCCTTCCTGTTTTCTACACTTACTGTTGTCATGAACCAGGGCACTCGGTTCCCGTGGGCGGGAACGGTAGCCTGCGCAGGGGTCTTGGGGGGTAGAGAGTGTCGGTTTGTTCTGGGGAACTAGCTTCCACTTGGTCGGATTAGGCCAAGCACCGGGTCGTGGATAGACCTGAGCACCGTGAATGGAGGGCTCTAGTAGATGTTATAATTAGTAGGTGGACGTAGGAATTAGTCTGAGTTGCGTAACTGTCAGGCAGCTCTGAGCCGAGGGACATAACTCCGCTCTCCCGCAATATGTTGGATAATGATTTTAGGCTTGCACTAGCCTGTGACTGTTCAGAGGTTTTCTTTCTTTGGGAACTCTTAAGCTAAACCGGCTGATGCTGCCCAGATAACTCCGGGTTGAATTGTGAGGTCCCCCCAACCTCGTCTGATTGAATATGAAACTGACGAGTTGCATTCAAAAAAAAAAAAAAAAAAAAAAAAAGACAGATGGTACAGCCCGACAGG